GAAGCAAAAGTGACAGGAGATAGAAATACTCAGCTGTTCATAAACCAGAACTACTCGGCCATAAAGAGGTCGGAAGAAAAAGGTGAACGCTCGCAGCCAACAAGGGCAAAACAACTCAAAGAAGACATGATGCAGCACTAAAGCAAAGGATCGCTCGTTTACTTGACATCAATATTAAAGTTATGGTGAACTGCAGCCAGGTCTGTCAGAGAGGAGTAGTACAGCGTTTAGCATTGAGGATCTCCTTCAGGTCTTTTTAATCTTTCATGGAGGTGCAGAAAAAAAAATAAAATGGAGCAGGTTTCAGAAGGAAATCAATAATACATCAAGCACACATCTGTTTGTGGCTGCTGGAGAAACTCAGTTTTACCCATCCATCATGTTTAAACCTTATTTTAACCTGTAAGAAGAGAATCAGGAGAATTAGAGGAATATTTCTTCTTCAGTCAGAAGAATGCATGAATCATTTGTGCTAAAAATGTCTTTCACTTTAGAAAAAACATGCTATTTCATTGTTTTGCTTTTTTTGTCCCCTTTTCGTTTCCGTTGAACATCTCTTACCTAATTAGCGCATCACTTGCATCATTTGGATTTCTCTTCAGCTTCTGACAAATGACATAGATATGCAAACTGAAAGTCAGAGGAGAACGAGAGGTCAGAAACCATTAACATGCAGTAGGTCCATAATTTGTTAGACAAAGACACAACTTTAGTTTGCCTCAGTTTGTCTCTTGTACATACCACAGCGGATTTAAAGTCAAACAATCAGGATATGAATTGACTTAAAATCATCTGTTCTGGCCTACAGAGGCTAAACTGCTGAAGCTCTGTCTTTCTCCAATAAATTGTGGATGTATGAAAAGGTGAAAAACTCAACTACAGCAGAAATGATTGACAGACGGCTAAAAAACAAGACCATTTAAATATGCAGCACATTGTCTGATCCTAGCTTTGCAAATTTGTCTTTGTCAGTTATGATGGTAAAGAGAAAGAGAGGAGAATGGATGGACGACAGTAAACGAATCAGGACCTGCAGAGGATTAGTAAAGAGGAAGGGAGGGCAGCTATGAAAAGGATGAAGAGTGCAAAGGCAGCAGGTCCAGATGACATACCTGTGGAGGTGTAGACCAGAGGGCGTTGGACTTTTTGATCAGACTGTTCACCATAATCTTGGTGAGTGAGCACATGCCTGAGGGATGGACAAGAAGTGTGCTGATGTGGAGAGCTATGGGATAAAGAGGGAGGGATGAAGTGGACGAGTCAAACCATGAAGAAATGAGAAAGAAGCCGATTTAAGGAGACAGGCTTCGCTTCATTCCAAGAAAAAGCACTGCAGGTGTGATGTTTGCTTTTAGAGTGTTGATGGGGAAGTTTGGAGATGGTCAGAAGGAGTTGCACTGTCTAGATCTAGAGAAAGCAGGATGACAGATGAGGTCAGGTGGGAATCTCCATGGACTATAGCTTTTATAGGGAGCAGGTGGAGGTATGGATAGAATAAGTGTGTGTGAATAAGAGGGAGGCAGGTGTAGCAGTAAAGACACACATAGCAGAGGTAGTGAAGATGCATAAGAGGTGAAGAAGAGAGCGCAGGCGGTGGAGTGCATGGAGACGAGTATCGGTGAATAAACTGTACAAAGATGGTGACGATGAAGCTACCAGGAAGGAGAAAAAGTGGATGACCTCAGAGAAGATTTGTGGATGTAGTGAAGGAGGACATGAGGAGGATTGATGTGAAAGATGAGCAAAGTAGGTAGATGATTTACTATGGCGCCCTCTGGGAGCAAGTGAAAGAAGAAGATTCTTTCAATTATATGTAAAAAAAAGAAAAGAAAAGCAGGCTACTAAGTCAGTATGTTGTATAATAAGAAACAATAGCAACATAAGCTAGATCTGCATCGTTCATATAGCCCTGCAATGATTCGTGTCAAATAAGTTTCCTTTTTTCATTTTCAATTTTTCATTCCAAGAGACCATTTAATTAATTCTGCCTTTGGGTGACACTGAGAGCTCTTTTTTAAGTATGATGCCAAACGCCGTATGTCTATTCAAACTTTTAAGCCCTGGTCCGTTGCACTGGGTGTAACTTTGCCCCTCAAGCATCTTTCATGAATATCACAAAGGTTGCAAGCCCTTTTCAGAAAGGGAGCTGCGAGTGGATGAGAGGAAAGTTTAAAGTTCAAGCAGAGAGACAGAGCGAGGGGAAGCCCTCGGGCCTTTTTAAGATGCTCCAGTGTTCAACTTATCTACTTGCTGTGGCAAACAGTAAATACCTGCCAGCAGCTTTTAGGGCTGGAAAAAATAAAAATAAAAGCATGGAGTGATGTATATGGCGCTGCCCCCCATCATGGCTTATGCTGCACTTTTTTTAAATTCTGAAAAATCTAATTAGTGAAGAAAATCTGCAAATGCTTCACTCATAATGTTTCTCCTTTGATGTTCTGATGCTCTGAGACTGACAAGACTGAGAATCCTGTGAAGTAGAAAAGATATAAGCAGGCATTTAGTGCAGAGATGAGCTAAGTGAGATCAGTGGATCACAGTAATTAGATGCCGTACGTAGGTTGTTTGATGCTGTGTCCTTGGTAGCTTGTTTAATCGCTGATGAGTTCCTTTAGCCTGCGAGTTCATGCTCATCCCCGTGCTACTCTTTAGTGAAAAAGAGATTTCTATTTTATTTCCTTCTTTGCCACAGACACAGTCTAGTCCAAGTTTTTTTGTTTCTATTTGTTGCTTCTGCTTTAAAAAAAAGAAGAAGTTTATTTTAATTTATTTTCACTTGCTACACACGGGACAGACATGACTGGGGGAAAGAAAAGGGAGAAAGAAAGAGAGGTAGGGAAAGAAAAACAGCAGGGAAGAGGAATGGTGATAAAGGGCAAAAACCCCAAAAAACAACAAAAACCACAGACAAAAAATACATATATCAATCACCTGGATCACCTGTTGAGAAAGAAAAAAGAGAAAACAAGCAAAAAAACAGATCAATATAATAAACAACATCATTGCGATGATCTATGTGAATATAACAGTACATACTAAATATTGAATATTATTGTGCAGCACATAGGATCGACAGCGCACAGTGTGCTTTGAGGTAGGAGCCAAAAAGGGTGTAGTTTGTGTGTGTGAGCACCTGTGTATACACCTGTGAGCATGAGCGTGCTTGTATTTAAAAGGTTCCTTCATGCAGTGATCTGCTAGAGGGTGTGGGGCGCCACAGCCCCGTCCTCCAGGGCATGAAGCAGGTATGGAGGAGATCAAGACTCCAGACATCCAGAGGCCCCCAGAACACAAGAGACCAAGGAAGACCAACGGAGGGGCAACCGTGCCACTCTCCTGGAAAGAGCTGAGGAGAGTCCCAGATGAGGGGTCACTCAGCAGCTGCGGAGCAGAAGCCAGGGGGGGTTGCAATGACGTTCCTGTGAGCTCCGCCGGCAGCCAGCTGTGCCAGAGTGACCGAGCCCCAGGCCGAGATGCCGAGGGCACCCCACCCAACGAAGGGGCCTGAGTGAGCCCCAGGTTCCAGGCCCCGACAAGCAGCCACCAGGAGTGAGCCGGTGCATACCCGGACTCCCATGCCCGGACACCAAGAACCACCAATGCACGGATAGTTCAAGTTTCTATCTTCTTTTGAATGCATGCAGACGGCTTTAAGAGACTTTCAGAGAAGTAACTTTGCTTTCTTGTAAAGAGCTCTGCAGCCTTTGTCTCTCAGAGAAGAGCTCTCCTGACTGATTCTAATTATAGGCTCCTCTGGTGTGGCAGTGACAACGCTCTCTTGTTTACATTCCAAATTATGAAAATGAACACAGAGCTCAAATATAGCAGCAATATCAAACAAACTGATGAATGCTGTCACCGTGACAGGCAGAGAAAATGATTCACACAGAAGTGTGCAAAGCTTTCTGGTCTATTCTATTTCATTCTACTGGGCCTTTTGTGGACGCGCCGCAGGAGGGCGCGAACGTCTCTCTTTCGTCTGGCGTCAACGGTCTCCCAGCAACAGCCAGGCTCGAGCTCGTCTCAATCTACCGCCGCTGAGCGCAGTCAAGCCGCACGGACACAGCCAGGCCCTCGCGGACAGAGTGGGGTGTTGCCTACAAAATAAAAGCCAACTGAGGTTAGGCGTGTAGTCGCCCAGCCTGACGGTGCTGGATTCTGCTGTCCCTTTTTGCTAGTTTGGATAAATGGCACTGGAATAAAATGTGAATTTTCAAGTTGGGAGGCTATTTTTAATGCTTAAGTAGCACCTCAAAAGCAAAAAGCAAGAAAGATAATTAGAAAAGTAAAAATGAAATGTTAACCCACCATATGTATCGACCTCATGACTGCAGTGAATTGTAAAGATGATCGGTGAGGCAATTCAGGCATGATTGAAGGTACTGACACGGCTGACCTTTATCCCCATCTAACAATCATGACGATTTGACTTTATAATTTTTTCTATCAAATACCTCCCATTTGATTTTGTTTTCTTTCGTTTACTTTGAAAAACAGCGACCGGAAGTGGGACATTTCCCCCACACTTTCCGACTTACGCTCGGGTCTGCTCAGCTGCAGCCGAACAGACGAAAAACCATGGAGCGCAACAAGACGCGTTGGAGAGAATCACCGAGCGGGCGCGGAAAGTGTCAGTTTCAGTCGTATTTGTAAGTTACTTCCAGCGAGTGTGGACAGACTTTTGGAACATCAGCAGGTGGAGAGTGATTCTTCGTTTTCTTTTTTTTCCTCCAAGCGTGCGTAAACTGATTGGAGTGGTCGGGGAAAGAAAATAGCCTTGGAGTGTCCAGCGGCTACCAAAGAACGGGAGGGAGGCTAGTTAGTTCTAAAAACAAGCTCTGAAGTGAAGAAGAGTGCCTGCTGGATAGAAAGGTGGATTGGTGGAGAGCGTTTGGAGAATGCGCGCTGCGTAAAAGCCCCCACATCGCTTACATGTTGTTATAAGGAACAATTACTTCTATTTGAGGAAACTGTGAGCGGAGACCTCCATAAAGAAAGGAGGAAGTGGTCTTAAATTGAAAGTGAGTTACTACTGAACAGTTACCAGCCATGGTGAAGTTCCATAACTCAGATCTATGGATAGCCTGGATGATCATTTTCTGCATGGAGGGTAAGTTATATGACACTTGGAAACGTAGTCTGTGCGCCAACTATAAGCTGAAAGCGCCTGGTAGGTTAATGATACTACTACTATTACTACTAATACTAATACTACTAATAATAATGTGGCTCTTTTGTAACTTGGATAAGTCACCATGACCATATATGTCCATAACTGGTATAATAAAAACAGACTTGGAACCCTTGGAACCTGGAATTAAATTGTCTCTTGGGCTCTGCCTCTCCAAAAGCCATATGATCCCAGCCCTCCTTAATACTTTGTGTTTGGATCACGCTGACAAATCCCCGGCATTACAAAAAAAAAAAAAAAAAGACTTTTCCGCCTTTTGCTAGTCGCTATCCCCACCGAGCACTTTTGACTGTGCACGTCTTATCCATATGCGCACTGCTTGGTTTTCCTTGTGGCCACCTTACACAACCCGAAGTCTGATTTTCTTCTCCCCCCACACCCGCCCCTTCTTTTAACCACTGATACACTTTAAAACGTGATACAGTAGTGTCTGTGTTTTAAAATAGAAACGGAGCAGACGGTGGAGGGTTGCGCTGGTAATCCGCCCGATTAACGAGGAGTATGATGATCAGGCTGCACAGGAGAGCGAGCAGCCCCAAAGGAAAATCACTGGATGTTCCTATAGCCCTCCGATGGGAATTTTATTGTGTGCGTGCACAAATAGCAGTTATGTATATGTGTGCGCTTTTGTTTACCTTCCCTTTCTTCTTAGCGCAGCAGTGCTGTTATCCCTGCAGTAATTTAACAATGTTCTCGCTGAGAATGCCTGCAAGTTTAGTGAGTTTGTCACACTTGCTGCTATAAAATAAACCAAAGTTTAAAATTTTGAAAACAAGTCCTTGTGCGTCCTATTAAAGCTTTAGGTGAGACGAAGGAATTCATGAAAAACAAGATTAAGTTAACATTAAAGAAAATATTAACAGCCTGCCGTTTATAGACTAAATATATTGCTGCAGATATGATGTTTCCCCCACTGAATAAGGATGGATATGGACCTCACCTGAGGTCCACATCTTTATTGAAAAACACGTCAGAGCAGAGCAGAGACATGCTTGAATATTGACTGATTCCTCTCAGAGCTTCATGCAACATTTGCACTGAACCTTGGAAACACACACACACACACACACACACACACACACACACACACACACACACACACCAGTCTGATATGTCAATTTGGACCGAACAATTGTGCAAGATTCAATTTAGCCGGATTCCCCAGGTGTTTTTACTCCGCTGCTTGCTTATTTGGCTTGTGGGTACCTCTGCGGTGAGTGGATGCGTGGCCTCTCGTCAGCTTCACTCAGGGTTACACACATACGTACACGCCCATGATAGTACATCGTGGACTGTGGTCACTCCATGTGTCTGTCTGGGTCAAAAGACCTCAGCTTTGCATTGACTTTAGGTTAAGTAACTGTAAGACCAATGTGAGTTCAGCATCTCTGTAACAAGACAACTTGCTCAGAGAGAAGCAGGACAGCTTTTCTTCTCTCCTTTTGCTGTCTTGCTGGGGAGCTGCCAGTGTTGCTATAAATAAATTCTGATGCAGCAAAGTCTGTATTGTTCATGGTGGCTTCTGTGTTTGTTGACCTCAACTTTTTCACGCCAAACATAGTCTCTAGGATGATGAGATCAGTCTTAATAGACATCTGATTGTTTTTGAAGATATTACACATGAGACTTTATACATATATATTAGTTTGTTGTAGTTTTGCTTCACATGTGTGGCAAAAAAACCCTACTTTTTGTTCACAAGTGCCTTAGGATGTCCACAGAGAAGCATGAAAAATGGAAAAGCTTTAAAAAACAGGAAAAAGCAACAGAAGGAAGTAAAATTCATGAGTTCCTCGGACAGGCATCAATCATGGCCTAGTTCGTGGCAGGGCCCTTCGTATTTCAGCATTAGTTAGAGGACATGTCGTGTCCTCTTCAGCCATCAGCGCTCCCCAGTTACACATAAATATTGTATCCCCTCTTCTCAGTTAGAAATGGATTCATCTCAACAGCAGCCTCGCAAGAAAAGTTGTGGTCGTCTGGATCTGCAGTGCTGGGATCATTTGAGGAAAGTTTGTAAAAGTTAGAAGAATGAACAGTGGAGGCTCTATGCTGATAAACAGATTAGTTCGGCTGTTGTCACAATGAACACCCGTGGTGATACCAACACAGGGCCGCTCTGTTACCGTGCCCTGATTTAAAGATACACCCAGAACAGCCCTCAAGGGCGTAGCAGGGACAGATCCCGAGGTTCAGTCAATTCAGCAAATTGAATTCGAGCGGAGCTGGTGGCTCTGAACTTTTCAACTGCTTTTGTCTGGTTTACTCGCCTGCGTAACGCTTCCTATAGAATCCTTCAAGTTTGAATACACAGAAGCGCTCAGATTAGCCCGCTGTCTTCAGGTTTGGACCGAAGAGTTCAGCGAGAATAAGCGTTAAAAAGAGACAACATGGTCTGTTTCTCAGAGCTCATTGGCATTCAGGGCGTTCGTGCCTGCTTCAAAGCAGAACTTAGACCAATTCTCCTTCCTGCTCGCTCTGTGAGCTTGTTAACCTCTTGGGGCTCTGCCGAAAGTGGCGGCATCAAAGTTACACAGTGAGTCTGGTTTATCTGTCGTGTCGGTTGCTGCGTTTTGTCATGTTTGCAAGTCCACTGTCCAACTCAATCCGTCCCAAAAATTAGATTTCATCTACTTCCAGCAGGAGTACTCACCAGATCTGCAGACCATAAGACAACAACCTGTCTGGATGAAGAAAAGTGTGCTAAACAATGATATGTTTTTTGATTTTGGGTTATTGTTATACTTATTGCTCAAGTCATTTCCAGTCTCATCTTGTAGGCCTTGTTCTTTTTCCTGCCAGTCTTCTGTATCACCTGTTTCTGGTCCACTCATTACTCCTCTAAGTATAAAAACCTCCTATGTAGTTCTCCCAAATCGCCAGATTGGAGTGTTGTGTTCCTTAAAAGTGATTTTTTTGTTTTTGGTTTGCCTGCACCCTTGTGTTTTCTTTTCATTGCTGACTGCCATCATGCCCATGCTCCGAAAGCCCAGTAGTAAAGTTTGGCATGTTCTTCCTGGTTCCTTCAGTTCTATATTTGGATCCTTTTCTCTTTTGGACTCAGTCACAATATTATCATCTTTTATTTTCATCAGTAATTACAGTATATTTCAATGACCATCAGGTCCAGTGAGAAACAACTGCATATTTACCAGAATGCCTTTTTTTGCCGCTTCAAATTGTCACCGTTTTATTTTGTTAGGCTATTTGGCTGCTAGTTAAAGCCAATGAGAGAGAGGAGAGCGGCAAGTAGTCCCTGAGATGTTATAGGCCAGTAGCAGAGTAAAGAACATGTAGGGGTGCTAAGAGTTTCCCGCTTAGTTGGTCAGATACTAACTTAGAGAACACCTCTCTTCCTGCTGATGCAGATTTTTTTTTTTTTTAAAAAAAGCAGTTTGTGTCAGTTTCATCCGTTAAGTAGAGATTTTTTTTCACCCCCTCGCCTCTTCTGCCTGCTGCTAAAAAGGAGCAGCTGGAACAAGAGTGTTGGACAGATGGAACTTTCCACCTCGATTATTTTTCCCGCTAAAAATAGCCTGTCAAAAAATTAAAAGACCTCCGGGACCGCTCGCAAAGTGCATGTACGTGCGTGTACGCGGCCGCTTGAGCGACAGAGGCGCAGGGAACTTCAGACGACGTGGTCCTCAGATGATGGCAGCCGCGGCCATCCTGGGAGTGTGAATGAATAAATGATGGGGAGATATTTGGAGGAGAGAGAGAGCAGCATTTGCCCGGTCCCTTGGTCTCTTAAGCACACATTAAACTAGGCCCCCAAAGAATCCACAGGCTGCCTCTTGCTTGCACGGCAGTTGGCCAAGCATCTGGGGCAAACATCTGATGTGGTCACTTCACAGAGATTTGGGGGTTTGGAGCTTTGAGGTTTTGCAGTTGGTTGTACCTCTAATCACAGTGGCAAATGAGGAAATCACGAGGATGTAGTAAAGCAGGGTGATGCTGTTAATGCAGCAGTGCGATCAGTGGGGCTTTTTGTTGCATTTGGGTTAGATGGCGAAACGGAGCGTCGGGAAAATTGCGTGTCACTTAATAAACCAGAAGCTCAGCTTGTGGTCAGTGCTGTTGTCAAACTTGCTTTAGACTTGTGTTTGCCATTTATTACATGAAAAAAATAATAGGTTAATTTTATATGTAAGCAGAGAAAGTGTGTGACTAAAGCTTTTTGACTCTTACTTTACGACACGTTGCAGCACTTCAAACAGTGGCCAGATTCATCTCCAGCCACAAGGTCGTTGCTCTGAGCAAAGAGATAACTGTGGATGAAGTGCAACAATCGCA